AGATTTTAAAATATAAGTTGGGTTCTCAACTAACAAAGATTTATTTACTGTTAAAATATTGTTAACCCACCATTGTATATCAGATATACATTCAGAATTTAAGTAAATGTTATGATCAAATTCACCATTGAATTTACTTAGTAAAGAGCTTTTTAATATATCACAACGTCTATAATATATTTCGCCGTACTGAACTCCAGGAAGAGAAGCAACCATTTGGCCAATTACACAAGCAAACAGTCTTAATGTTATAAATTTTGATGACAAAATGTCTAGACAAGCTTCTTTCAGCTTATGAGCTCTTTCTTCAGTTAAACGAATAGTCATACTGGAAGAATTCAGAATGAAACCTAAATAAGTGATCTCCTGTACAGGATCTAAAATGGATTTTTCTGGATGAACCACAAAACCAGCTTTTAATGAAAACAGTACAGTATCTCTGATATTGTTTCTACAATCTTCAATGTCATCCCCAATTAACAGACTGTCATCTATAAAGTTTGTATTCAAATGGCCCAACTTTCTTAGTTGAGAGAAAAATACATTTGTCAGTTTTGTGAATATACGAGGAGCTGGTGCATAGCCATTAGGCAAACAACAGTACTGATACAATGTCCCCTTCCAGACAAATCGGAGATATTTTCTATAAGGTTTGGAGATAGACAGAGCATGATAAGCATTCGACCAATCAATTGATGCCATGTAACAATTTTTTGTAATTAAATTTATAGCATGTGATAATGTATCCATCTTAAAATGATGATAATCAACTATCACGTCTAATCTGATTATGATCCTGCACTATATGGCCAAGTAATGAAAGAGCATCCATTCCAGCCTTAATCCCAGAAGACAGACTACTGTCTTTATAATCTGACTTTTTGTCCTGTTTCTTAGATTTTAATAACAGTTCTACTAAGCTCATAACAGCATATGAACATTTTATCAATTTTCCACTCAATTTGAAGAGTCAATGTCTTTGAATTGGGTTTCCTTTTTCAGATGCCCCCAAATTTCTGTATTGATCTTTTGAGGATATAATTCAGTATTCCCTGGTCTCAGGTATTTTTCCATTATTCCTTTTGACCGATCATCAGCTTGCTTAGTATTAAACATGTGTTTAATTATGTCAGCAACTTTTGCTGGCAAAACATTGCCAACTTTATCCACAACAGAATATTCTTGTTCAAGAAACTTTTCAAAATCGTTTTCTGAGTCGTCATCTTTTTCATGGTCTTGATGATCTCTTTCATCATTAGATTGCTCCAACAATTCATTAATTTGTTGTATTATGTCCAGATTTTCTCTCCCGGCTCTCTTTTTATCCAACTTCGGGATCTTATACTTCTTTTGAGTCAAAAGAAAATCAGAGTCTGAATTTTCGTAAATTTCACCTTCTGATCTATCGTTGTTGACATCAGATTCAGAAATAACTCGTTTCCGGCCACAAATGGGTCTTTTATCTGTACGACGACTTTCTGGTTGTCGTAAATTATCCATCGAATTTGCAATAATTAATTGAATTTCTTCAAAAGACTTTTTATGCATTTCATGCATTTCCATTTTGAAGTCAGCAAAAGTTTGACTGTTATCTTTTGAAAAACTTGCAGTTTCGATGATTGCATCATCTTTATTTTTGGATGAGGACGGTCGATTTCTTGCCGCCATTTCACTCGGACTGCATGTGACTTTTTCTAAATTTCCACCAGTTGCAGTTGATTTAATGCTAGTTTTAAAACCATCAGTCCCTTTTATAGACTTTCTGCTTTTATCTTTTTCAAAAATTATACTAGCGAGATCAAAAGTTGACTTGCTGGCCGAAGTAGAAGTTAAACTTTTCTTCGTAGAATCTCAAGAAAATGCTTTAAAAAAAAAAAAAAAAAAAAAAAAAAAAATTGTCGATTAACGACAGATAGTGCTATCTCGTAGCAACTTAAATTAATAAAATAATGGCCTCACTAGATTTCAACTAAACCACAGGTCATAGGCCTAAGTCGAATTTCTCAAAATATTTAGAAAATTAGAGATCGACTATTGAGAGGTGCTTTCACCTCGATGGTTAGACACACTAATGATGGTTTTAGGCGCGCGCATCTCACATGACCTCGAAATGACGTCATACAGTAAGACAGAATTAGATTCCAAGGACATGGAGTATCACTTAAAAGCTAATTAAAAACAATTAGGGAAAAAAATTAATATTTTTTTGTTACAAGGGACGACTGCACGAGAAGCGCTCAAATCCAAATAAATTTTTATTTTAAAAAGGTACAAAGTTACAAAGCTGAAATTTTGAACACATATCCACATAGACTAGCTAGACATTTACAAAAAAACCAAGCTCAAAAATCCCCCATAGGAAAAAGGTTAGCACAGGAAAAGTTGCTTATTATCTGCTCTTTTAAGCCATACCAAGGGTGAAGATCAGATACCTAACTTTGCGAAATACGCCGATTTGGCCCATGTTTGGGACTTTTCCTTCTAATTAGGGCCCAGGCACATGGTATATTACTTAAAAGCTAATTAAAAACAATTAGGGCAAAAAATGGATATTTTTTTCTTACAAGAGACGACTGCACGAGAAGCGCTCAAATCCAAATAAATTTTTATTTTAAAAATTTACAAAGCTACAAAGCTGAAATTTTGCACGCATATACACATGGGCAAGATAGACATTTAGAAAAAAACCGAGCTCAAAAATTTGCCATAGGAAAAAAGTGAGCCTAGGAAAAGTTGTTTATTATCTGCTCTTTTAAGCCATACCAAGGGTGAAGGTCCGATACCTAACTTTGCCAAATACGTCCATTTGGCCCATGTTTGGGACTTTTCCTTCTAATTAGGGCCCAGGCACATGGTATATCACTTAAAAGCCAATTAAAAACAATTAGGGCAAAAAATGGATATTTTTTTCTTACAAGGGACGACTGCACGAAAAGCGCTCAAATGCAAATAAATTTTTATTTTAAAAAGTTACAAAGTTACAAAGCTGAAATTTTGCACGCATATACACATGGGCAAACTAGACATTTAGAAAAAAACCCAGCTCAAAATCTCCCATAGGAAAAAGTAGCCC